GGGAGAGTATAGGGGTCAGTGCTGTGGAGACACCTACAGACACCCCCCATGGAGGGTATAGGGGGTCAGTGCTCTGGGGAGACCTATAGACACCACACAGGGAGGGTATAGGGGTCAGAGCTCTGGGGAGACCACCAGGCACCCCCACGGAAGGTATAGATGTCACTGCTGTGGGGAGACCTATAGACACCCCCATGGAGGGTATGGGGGTCACTGCTGTGGGGAGACCACCAGGCACCCCCACGGAAGGTATAGATGTCACTGCTGTGGGGAGACCTATAGACACCCCCATGGAGGGTATGGGGGTCACTGCTGTGGGGAGACCACCAGGCACCCCCCATGGAGGGCACGGGGGGTCACTGCCCTGGGATGACCTGCAGACACCCCACATGGAGAGGAAGGAGGAGGTTTGTTTTAGGGAGCCCCCCAGACAGCCCCCATGGAGGGCACAGGAGGTCTCCTCAGGGAAGGTGTTGGGTGCTGCTGTGATCAGCCCTCAGGCCTGTCCCCAAAGGTGAGGACCACTGTGAGCAGCCCCACAGGCACCTCTTCCTCCCCAAAAATAGTGTCCTAGGGAAGCCTCTTGCTCAGCAGCCCCTCACCACTCTAAAGCAGGTACTGGGGAAGCCCCTCACTCCCCACAGAAGGAGGGGCTCAGGACCCTGCTGATGAGAGTTTCATGTCCCAGGAGGTTGGTGTTGGCCTCCCGGTCCATCCCCTGTCCCTGACACAGATGGGGACATTGTGGTGCTCATCCAGGCCATGCTGGCAGGGCACTGGGGACGGATGGTGCTGAACATATTCCATGGGTAAAAATAGACCTGTGGTGCTCTGAGCCAGCTGTCACCTGCTCCTCCAGCCAGCAGACATTCCCACGGAGGTTCTGTCTTTCCCTGAAGTTTCCCAGGATGTTTTCTCTCCCCTGCCCTCACTGGGTAGTTCGATTTGTTGTCCCTTTGTCCCAGGATACATCCCTAGGTTGTGCACCGGCACCTTGGGGCTGCAGCTCACAGAGAAGTGCAGTGGTTTGTATCAGTCCAGGTGGGAGCTGTGGCTCCCCTAGATCACTGGTGAGACTTCAGAACAGCTCTCCTGTGCTTTGTTTTCTCACATGTCTTGATTTCCTCCCATCATGATTCACTCTTCCTTGGACCAACCAGCCCTCGTTCTCAGCTGCACAAAAGCTCAGGGCATTGTTTTTCCTGTTGTTGCTCATATTTGGATTTTCTTTTGAATGCTGTTTGCCTGATTTATTTATGGAGAGGGAGCAAAGTGTCAGAGTGCATCTCTCTTTAGATGTGTTCAGTTAGAGTTCTCTTTACACATCACAGAATCGTGGAATAGTTTGGATTGGGTTAGAGTTCTCTTTACACATCACAGAATTGTGGAATAGTTTGGATTGAGAGGACCTTAAAGTTCATGCAATTCCACCCCCTGCCCTGGGCAGAGACACCTTTCCACTAGGCCAAGTTGCTCCAAACCCCATCCAGCCTAGCCTGGAACACTTCCAGGGTTGGGGCAGCCACAGCTTCTCTGGGCAAAATATGTGCTATATTAGCAGATGACTCCCCCTTCCCATTCCCTTTCTTCCCTTAGAAAGGGCACCTTTGGAAAAGACCGGGATAAATTGTTTCAGACAAAAACATAGAGTCCACAAGTTATTTTCCCTGTGGTTACAAGTGACTTTAGCCCAGTGGTTAGAGCCTGATTGTGGCTTTTAGGTTGGACCAACCCAATGGGATATGTCATACATCTTAAAACACCAAGTTCTGCACTGGGAAGCCTGGAATAACTGAGCAGGATTTTCTGTTCGTATTCCTTTCAGACAGTGTTTGTTGGGAAGAACAAGCCACAGAAAGATCCCCTGAGCTCCTTCCGCTGGCAGGGCTTCAAGCTGGAGGAATATCTCATCGGCCAACCCATCGGGAAGGGCTGCAGTGCTGCTGTGTACGAGGCAGCTATTCCCTTCTCTCCCAATCATCGGGAACGTGCGGAGAGCAGCCGGTTAGCCGTGCCACAGGATCATGGCTCTGCTTCCCAGCAGGCTGAGAAGGAGCCTGTGGTGAAACACCAACCCAAAGAGGCTTTTCCTTTAGCCATCAAAATGATGTGGAACATTTCGGTAAGGATTCAGCTCCAAATCCCTGTGTCTTTCTGTCTGGAATGTTTAGTGCTTAAGTGTTGAGAGCGCTAATTATGGAGTGTGGGGTGAGTGTGTCACAACAAAGCTGTGGAAAGATGACACTGGAGCAAGTCCCAGAGCAAGGTAATTAGCATTCAGCATCCTCTGGGATTGGCACTTGGTGCTGCTGGTGCTGGAGTTGTTTGGTAGGGAGGTGATGTTTTGGGAAGGTTTCCTCAGAGTGGCTCTCATGGGAAGGTCTGAGAACAGGAAAGCCACTGCTGCCAGTGATTTAGGAATTGGTGTCAGTGTCAGGACAGAGGTGAGTTTTCTTCCTGAAGATTCAGTGGTCACAGGAGGGGCAGTATCCTGCCTGCTGGATCCCTTTGCCATGAGGTGACTGTCCAAAATCTGCTCCAGTGTTTCCCACCCTAGGTGACCTGGTGATCCCTTGATGTGGCTATTCCACGTTGAAAAACATCCACATGGCTTTCCACCGTGTTTTGGTGGCCCTTGGTGTGACAAGTGAATATTCCAAGAGAGTCTTCAAAAATGCCAGCCTCTGGAATCCCTTGGACTCCCTGGCAGTTACCTGTGGGCTTTTCCACTCAGGGTTGGAAGTGGAAAGTGAGTGTTAAGGTGTAACTCAGAGTGCTGACAGTCCAGGATGCATTTGAAGAGACAAACAGCTTTCTTTGTGCAAATCAAGGCCTTGCCACATCCCTTGGTGAATTCTTTAAGTAGTTAGTTGCCTTCCCTGATTTTCAAGGGAGGGAAGTCCCTGGAATCTAGTCTCAGTCAAACTCCTGACACAGTGCCAGCATCAGGATTGCCAGTTTTCAGCCTGCATTGGGGTTGGATGATTCTGGAGCTCCAACCAACGTGGTGTGTGCTTGCTGTTGCAGGCTGGTTCCTCCAGTGAAGCCATCCTGAATGCCATGGGCCAAGAGCTTGTTCCAGCCACAGGAGTTGCATTATCTGGGGAATACGGAGCCGTCTCTGGCCGCAGGTATGGACACTATGGAAGTGGAGGCTGTTCTCAAATGCTGCTGTGCTAATTCTATCCATGGATTGATTTTGCAGCAATCTGCACTGTTAAGAAAGTGGGCAGAGCTTTCTAGGACAGTTCCTGAAAGCAGATAATCCCAGGGATTATTAAATTTATTGACGTGCAGGGAATACCTGCAGCTCAACTGTGTGGTCCAAAGGGTGTTGGAAGGGTAGACCAATAACTGGGGAGAATTTCAGGTCTTGCCAAGGGTCTGATGGGTGGCCCTGGTCAGGCACTTTGTGCTCCATTCCTTGAGTTTCTCCATGTGTGAAATGCATTGATACTTGCTGAGTTAAAGTCTGGGAGGAGCCAGGGATTAAACAGCACTGAAATGTGCATCATGGTGCTTTTAACTGCAGAAATCCACACCTGCAGTTTGTAAGAGTTTGAGTGTATTAGACATCAGATGATGTCACTGAAATACGATTTGACTGTGGGATTTGAGAACTGGTTTGGTGTAAAATGGGTGCTGGGCAGGGAGGTTGAAATTGGTTTAGTGCAGGGAGACTGGTGAGAAGGAAATTGGAGATGACTCAGTTCCCACTCTTTCACCTGAGTGGGAAGTGAGCAAACAGCATGAAGGTGGAAAATGACACAGAACTTTTCAATTACCTTGAATTAGCTGTCCTTTTTGTTCTGAAATTCATCTTTTTGTTCCATCTGAAACAATGGACTCTGCGGCCCAGATTATCTGATTTACATTTCAAATCCATCTGGGCTGCCAATACAAATGAATAATGAATGCTGTGCTCTGCCTGGCTGGCTGGGAGTGCAGCAGAGCAGCCAAAGGGATGTTTGACATTCAGGGGATGAGAGATCTGTGTTGCAGATACAGATAGGTAACCTGCTTTCCATGGCAGTGAGAGCTTCCTGCCTGTGCCATAAAATAGAGTCTAATTCGATACTCTTGAGTGTGAAGTTGACCTTTATTTTATGTCTAACAGACTAATGGTGTTTGAGTGTTTTTCTCTAGAGCTGTTGTGACTCTCTTTGAGCAGAGAAGCAGCCTGTGACTGGCTCTGCCTTTGTTAGCAGCGTGGAAGGGCTGGTAGGGCTTGAGGGAAATGAAAAGCTGCGTGTTACCTGTGAGGGTTTTTTAAATCAAAGCTTTGTTTGCAGCACAGGTAAATCACCTGCATTTCCTCTTTGGCCATGGTGCATAGGGAAACCTAGTTACAGCAGAGCTCTGTGAGGTCTTGGTTGGCTCAGTTTGCTGTGGGAAGTGCTGCATAGATCCTGAACTCTGGAGAAGATGCTGGGAGCTGCCTGCTGCCATGGTGGATCCTGTGGGTGCTCTGCATCCACCTGGGAAATGTTGGGTTGAGGCACTGCGTGGGAAATAGGCCATGAAGGCAGGGAGACTGCTGTCTGTAGTTTTCCTCATGGAATGGATTCCAGGGTGTGAACAGCTGACCATTGGCTTAACATGTGGTCCTGGAATCCACACTGTGCAGCTCTGATCTCTCCCTAATGAGCTTTCCAGTGGAAAGTGCTGTGGAACCCTTTGGTGGGGGGGACAGGCCATATTAAATGGAAAGGAATTCCAGGAATAAGAGCCATGGGATCAATCAGAATCCATCAGGAGGCTGTTGCAATCTGTGGTGTCTCTCCTTTCTCACAGAAAACCCATCCTTGGGAGGAAGAAGTTGCAACCTCATCCAAATATAATCCAGGTGATCCGAGCATTCACATCCTCAGTCCCTTTGCTGCCTGGAGCCTTTGCTGACTATCCTGATGTTCTTCCACTGAGCCTGAATCCCAGAGGGATTGGTCACAGCCGCACACTCTTCTTGGTGATGAAGAAGTAGGTGGAGAGAAGCTGGTTAATGTGACTCAGGCTGGCTACTCTGTGCTGCACAGGTCCCTGCAAGGCTTGGGCCTGGGCTGCTGCCAAAGAGCAGGATATGCTCTTGGAAACACCTCCCAGAAGCTGTTCCAAGTCCTTGAGGTTTTAACTCTGCTTCCACAACGAAGACAAGCAGTTCTTTTTAATAATTACCTCAAATTAAAGTAGGAAATGTGGAGTTTGTCCCCATTTGTCTGCCCTCCTAAACCTGAACTTCACCCCGAGTCTGAGCACAGTGCTAGGGATGGAGTAGAATCAGTAATGAACTGAGCCAACACTGAGGTTGAACTGCCAGGATAAGTTTCCAGGATGGTAATTCCAAGTTTTCACATGTTCTGCCTAGTTACCCGTGCACACTGCGCCAGTATCTGCGGGAGAACACGCCGGACGTTCGCCTTGGCACCATGATGGTTCTGCAGCTCCTGGAAGGTGTGGACCATCTCGTTCGACATGGGATAGCACACAGAGACCTCAAGTCGGACAACATCCTGGTTGAATTTGATTCTGGTATGTAGATCCCTAGGGATAAATGCCAATTTAAGTCATGCACGGAAGTGATGCAGTCCTGGAGGTGTTTGGGGAGGAAGAAGCATCAAACCCTTTGAAGAATCTCAGGTTTAGTCTTTAGCTTAGTGTTTGCTGTCGCTGCAGCACTGGGGAAATCATTGATTCTGTCTGTGCCTGAGGTTTTGGATCATTAAAATGGACACAGCACATTGCTGAGGTGATGCATTGCACAAGCACAGGCAGCGTTGACTGGAGCATCCAGTAATGCCACATTTGGGATGCTGCAGGTGCCTTGGCTTGGTGCTTTGCCAGGCTCTTGGCTCTGTCATCTCTCCCAAGCTAAAGAGCACAGAGAGCTTCTTAAAATCCCACCCTGTGGCCAGGTTCATAGTGCTGCACCCTGGGATGATTAAACACGGGTTGGGAGGGAATGGAAACAAAAATGTTACAGCCCAAAGTGGCATTTTTATCTGCTTGTTCTCCTGTGAGCCTAACAGAGATTTTAATTACCTGGGCTCCTTTTCAGTGTGATTGAGATTTAAACAGGCAGAAAACAATAGCAGGCAGGCTGGTCTGTGTAATTAGGAGGGGAGCAGTGTGAGCAATATCAGGACTGCTGGAATCACACCCTGACATCCCTAAGATGGGCAGACAGGACAGAGGATTCCCCAGGGCTCAGTATTTAGGCCACTTTCTCAACAACCTGGGTGAGGGGATGAAGTGCACCCTCAGCTTGCAGAGGACACCAGGCTGGGTGCTGATGTGACTAGTGCAGCCAGAGTGACTGCTGACTCCTTCCCAGCTGGCTGCCCCTGGCTGGTGATCACTGACTTTGGGTGCTGCTTGGCGGATGAGAACATCGGCCTGAGGCTGCCGTTCACCAGCTCTTACGTGGATCGAGGAGGCAATGGCTGTCTTATGGCACCTGAGGTGAGTTCTCCTGGACTCAGGGTTTGTGGTGCTGGTTTTCTGCTTGTCTTGCTCTCAGGACTTAGAGTTTTGGCAGCGTAGAAGGTCCTGTCCTTACTTGAGTGAACATCTCTGTGTTAATCAGAGGTTCTGTGCTGAGCAGTGTCCAACAGGCACCTTCACAAATGAAACATAATCAGTGTTACAAGGCAGAATTGGCCTTTCCCCAAAAATGTACTCTTCAGTTTTTATTCAGGTCCCTTTCCACATCACTGTAAAGAATTTAATGCAGCAGTCCTTGTGTTGCAGTAGTGGGTTTTGGCTGAAGTTTAAGGCAGTTGTGAAATTATTTACAGTGCCTTTTTATATCTCCAGTGATAACCATAATAAAAGCCAAGACACCCTTAAGTCTCTGCTTGACCTGGAGCACTTTGCCTTGCAAGTGCTGGTGCAGTGTCAGTTATTCATCCATATGTCTCCTGTCTGTCTAAAATCCCAGCAGGAAATAGCCCTTGGACCTCTAGGAATGCTGGTCAGGGGCAATGACTAAAGCCTAGGTAAAATATCCAAACTCCTCCCAGTGGGCTGAGCAGTGCCAGAGGCTTAGAGCATACCAACAGAGAATATTTACACCCAGCTGTGGTTCCAGTCTCTCTAGCTTATTGCAGGGAAAATCATAAAGCCTCCCCTCCCTGGGCAGCCTGTGCCAGTGTCTCACCACCCACTGTAGGTGGGATCTCTCAAGAGACCTGGTTAGACCATTGAAAATCAAATTTTAGCACAGAGGCCACACTCACGCTGTTCATTTTATCTCCTTCCCCATGGCAGGTGATCACAGCTTCACCTGGTCCAGGCACAGTGATCAACTACAGTAAAGCTGATGCTTGGGCAGTTGGAGCAATCGCCTCAGTGTCTCACCACCCACTGTAGGTGGGATCTCTCAAGAGACCTGGTTAGACCATTGAAAATCAAATTTTAGCACAGAGGCCACACTCACGCTGTTCATTTTATCTCCTTCCCCATGGCAGGTGATCACAGCTTCACCTGGTCCAGGCACAGTGATCAACTACAGTAAAGCTGATGCTTGGGCAGTTGGAGCAATCGCCTACGAGATCCTGGGCATGGCCAATCCTTTCTATGGCCATGGGAAGTCGAGTCTGGAAAGCAGAACCTACCAGGAGGAGCAGCTGCCAAGCCTGCCTGATCATGTGCCCTTCGAGGTGAAGCAAGTGATAAAGATGCTACTTCAGAGAGATCCCAACAAGGTAAGAAACTGTTGTTTTGAAGATATCTTTGGGAGTATCATTAGTGACCATTTTGGGCTGTGGTTGCAGGAGATAATCCAGATCTCACTGCAGCCTCCTTAAGGATCAAAGCCAGACAAGAAGTCTCTGCTGAGGTCCAGTTTGGCCTCTCACATGTGGCACTGAATTGTTTCAGGGATTTCAGCAGATGTGTGTGTGGGGACTGGACCTCAAATTGGGGGGTTACACACAGCAGTCTGACACTGATAGTCCCAAAGACCTTAATAAGTCACAGGGTGAAATAGGGGAGGCCCAGGGTGTTTTGGCAGTGTTGGTGATGGGACTGGGTGCAGCAGGATCAGCTAATCTTCCCTCTCCTTCCTGTTGCAGAGGTTGTCTGCCAGAGTTGCTGCAAATGTGCTTCACCTGAGCCTCTGGGGTGACAGTGTCGTAGCATCCAGGACCCTGAAACCCGACCAGATGATTGCCTGGCTCCTCTGCCAGTCTGCAGCCACACTGCTCACCAACAGGCTGGTGGATAAAAGCCAGGTAGAAACCAAAATGAAGATGTGCTTCTTGGCAAACCTCGAGTTTGAAGACCTCTGGGCAGCAATATTCCTGTTGCTGGCCTGGAGAAGCCGCTCTGGGTGAAGGAACCACCTGGAACATGAGCATCCCAGATAAATAGCACTTTCTGAAGGCACATAGGAATCTCCTTTGTTGTCTGCCTGCAATCCTGTAGTGCTTTAGGGAACAAACTGCAGGCCTGTGTTTAAGAGCTTGAGTTTCTCTATAGCAAGTGTTACCACACTGCTTTTCTCCCCCTGCTAGAGGAGATTCCCTTGCTTCCTTACTCCCTAGGTGCGAGGGTGTGTGGACATTGCAGGTGTCCTGAGGTATGTGGTTGGTTTTACTCACATTTGGGAGTTCTTACTTGACTTGGAAGTCATGTGTTGAGGAAAGCAGGTTCCCTTCCAGAGGGCTTGGGTGGGAGGAGGCACTGTGGAGGCTGCACTTTGCATGGAAACATCCCAGTTTAAACACTGAGAAAGCTGAGCTGGCCAAGGGATGTGCAGTCTTCCTGGTCTTGGGGAAATTAGGTGGTCTGAAGCTGATAATCCTCTGAGCTATAAAGTGACAGCCTGAAAGCTTCTTGGTGAGGTGCTGCCTGGTAACCTGAGCGTCAGCAGCATTAAATACCTCACAGTTGTACGTAGAATAGTAGAAGCACATTGACCTCAAACCCCTCTTAGAGCTGTTGCTTAATTGTTGTAGTTGTGTGGTGGTGGCTGCCACAGGGTCCAAGGCTGAGTCACACTGTCTAGGTAGGGATAATGCTCCACACAAAATGAGGCTGAACAGCAGCACCTGCTTGAAGAGTTTAGTGTGATGCTTCTCTTTCACCTGCCTGTTTGCTTCAATGAAATTACATCCTTTGGTGGGGAGGACAGGAGACATCAATCTCTGAATAACAACAGCCATTGTTTGTGAAACATCATTCGATTTTGTGTCTGTAATCGTGTTTAGAGGCACTTGGGGAGAAAGTTACTTATGCTTGTTGCACAATAAATTGGAGATTAAGCTCTGTGGCTGTGTGGGTTCTCTCAATGCAGTTGGAGCTCTGGAGTCCTGGTTCTGTGGTGTCTGAAATGATCATTCAGCTCTTCCCACTGCTGTCTGTGCAACACTGTATTTTATTCCAAGTGGAGTTTCCCAAAGAGGAATGGATCTTGCTTGTGGATGTGCCTGTTTTGTACTCTCCTGCGTGGTAAATCTCTGGCTACTCCTGCAGTTTCTAGGTGGATGACATCGATGGCTGATATCCCTAATCATCATGTGCTGCCAGGGCTGAAACAGCATCTGGTTCAACAGTGGTGTTAAATCACCTGCCAGGGAATGGCCCTGCTCGTGTTGCCTGTGGACACAACACACTGCTGGGCTGTGAGGGTCTCAGCAAAGAGCACAGAGCCTGGGGAATCACACAGAATGAGCTCTTTGGGGAAAAAAATGTTGCAGAAAAAGACCTTTGCAATATTGCTCTGACCCTAAGCAAAGCGTGTGCTGCTCACTCTTAGATTCTGAGTTCTTGCAGTGTGTTTTTGCTGCCTTGGGTTTGTGTGTGCTCTCCCCTGAGCCCTGTGCCTGTGTCTAGCAGTGAGGCCCGTTCCCTGGGCACTGTCTCTGGAGCCTTTTGAAGAGTAAATGCTGTTGCTGTGTGGTAGATCTCTGCTCTGAGCCCTCTTTCTGCTGTGAACATCATTCCCTTGCCTTTCCCTCATCGAGTCTCTACACGAGTAGGGAGTAGAATTAGGAACTGGAGCCATCTGATTTCAAGCATGTTGTTATTAGTCCAGCCAGGCTTTAATCTGTGCTGGTTAACTCCAGGCACTGGAAACTTGCTTTCCCTGGGAATCATTCATCTCTCTGTCCTCAAAAACGGCCCAAAATGCTTGTCCTGCAGCTTGTCCCCCTGGTGCTTAAATCCCTATTAATGCTTCCCCTGTGCTTGCATTTTGTCTGCCCATGATTCTGCTGAGCTCAGACTTTCCTTTTGTTTTCTTCCCCTCCTGCCTTCCGCTAACAGGGAAGTTTTTATGATTCTTCAGCATTTTGGGTGCTTTTGTGAAGTGCAGCTTAAAAGCACTAGCTGTTAACACAACAAATCCTGCTGTGCTGTCTGCAAATGCCTGAGGGGAGCAAACTGGGGCCTTTCCCACTGTGTCCCTCCTGCTAATCCCTGTGCAGGCTCTTGGTGGAGATGCTGCAGCCGAATCCTTTCACTGCTATGTTTGTTCCTGCTGTTTGCCAGGACTCTGCCATTGGGAAAGGGGGTGGCTGGGAGGGGCAGTGCAAGGGCCAGGCTGAATTTCTGCCCTTCCCCGAGCAGTGGAGTCTTCAGCTGCACTTTGAACCCTGGAGGGAGGAATGGTGGAGGCCCCTGGCACTCTGCCTGCCCCTGGCATTGGAGCTGAAGCGGCGCAGGCTCTGCAGCACCTCTTGCTGTGCTCCCTGTGGGACAGAGGGTGGGAGTCTGTGGGGCAGGATGAGGCAGCTGCTCTGGGCTGGCTGCAGCCAACTGCTGCCCCAGGTAGCCAGGCTCTGTGCTCCAAAGCTGTCAGTGACCACTGCAGTGGCCACCCCACGGCACGGCCCGTGGCCTACAGCTCTTCTGGCCACCTCCAGCTCCTCACCCAGTGTCCCCTCGGGGTTCCTCCAGCCTCTGGCTCCGGGCTGCAGGGCCCCTTGCCGCTGGGGCTCACAGTTCAACGTGCCCCCCAGTGCCTTGCTGGTGGCTCGGCCCGTGGGGATCTGCTCCATGATGAGACTGCCCGTGCAGGCGTCGGCGGAGGGACTGGACGCGGCGTTTGTCGGTGTCCCTCTGGACACAGGCACGTCCAACCGGCCAGGAGCCAGGTAAGGGCCAGCCTGGTGCTTCCCTGCAGCCAGTGGGGACAGCTCTCTGCTGAGAGGAGTGCTGGGAGCAATGCCTGGCAACCTTTCCCTTCTCCACAGGTTCGGCCCACGTCACATCCGTGCCGAGTCGGCGATGGTGAGGAAGTGCAACAGCAGCACCGGGGCAGCACCTTTCGACTCCCTGCGGGTGGCTGACATTGGGGATGTGAACGTGAACCTCTACAACCTGCCTGACAGCTGCCGCCTCATCCGAGAGTCCTACCAGGACATCGTGGCCTCTGGCTGTGTGCCCCTCACCTTGGGTAAGGGCCCTGCATCTCCCTGCGCTGCCACTGTGTCCCTGCTCGGCCAAACTCTCCTCCTCTTCCTCCCAACACTGATCCAAACACGGCAGAAAGTGAGATGAATCCCCTGCGTGGCGTGTTGTGCTGTCTCGTGGGTAAATGTACAGGTTCTCTGCTGAAATGACTGTTCTGTGATGCCTCTTTTGGGTCAGAAATGATGAGGATGGATCGGTCTGTAAATACAATCAGCGATGGGTTTGTGTTCTGTTGAGCAGGAGACTAAGCAAGAGCAAGTTGTGTCCCTTGGAATACATCCCTTGTGTCCCTCAAGCTGAGGCAGTGCTGGCTTTGCACGAGGCCTGGTTTGGGCACACATTCAAGTTTGCAGCTGTCAGAGCTTGGCATCACTAAATGAAGTGAGTGTGTAGAGTAATGAGGGGCCAATCACTAGTTACAGCGTCCTCAGAAGTGGATCAAGTGTCTATTTATAACCCAGATCAAGGGTCCTGCTCCAGGGGCTGTCCCTGCCAGCAGTCCTGCCAGGTCTTCCCCAGGAGGAAAAAAGTAGAGAGGAAGCAACCTCCACCCAGGAGCCTCAGATTTTCCTTCAGGAATGAAGCCTTGGGGTATATAAATAAGTGCAGGATAAATGCGGGGGGGGGAAAACTGACTTGGGAACAAAGGCAAGGAGTGCTGAGCACCTCTCACAGTGTGTTACTCCTCTTCCCTGTCCTGTTTCAGGTGGAGATCACACCATAACATACCCCATCCTGCAGGCCCTGGCAGCAAAGTAAGTTTCTAACCTGGAGATGTGTAAAGTCTGGGGCAGGAGCCTCATGAATGCCCCTGGGTTGCAGGGCCATCCTGCACAGGGCAGGGACTGATGTGGCCACCGTGTCCTGTCTAGGCACGGTCCCGTGGGACTGGTGCACGTGGATGCTCACACCGACACCGGAGACACAGCTCTGGGGGAGAAGATCTACCACGGGACCCCGTTCCGGCGCTGCGTGGAGGAAAAGCTGCTGGACTGCAGCCGCGTGGTCCAGATCGGCATCCGAGGCTCCTCCTACGAGCCCGACCCCTACCAGTACAGCCGGGAACAGGTGAGCTCCTGCTCCGCGTGTTTGCCCTGCCGTAAATATTCCCATGGCATTAATATTCCCTTGGCTTCAGCAGGGAAATAAAGGCATTTTACATCTTGTCCCATGCCAGCAGCTTGTCCTGCAGGACAAATCCTCCTGGCTCACCGAGTGTCAACGAGGGAGGGAACAAGGAAGTGAGGAGTGGAAGGTGATTCCAGGTGCAGCTTGGAGGAAGGTTGATCCTGGCAGAAATCCCTGGCAGGGTGGAAGATGCTCTGCTTTCCTCACCTTTACCTGAGCAGGTGTCTGTGTGCTGCAGGGTTTCCGGGTGGTGCCAGCTGAGGAGTGCTGGATGAAGTCCCTGGAGCCTCTGATGAGGGAGGTGAGGGCACAGATGGGGGACAAACCAGTATACATCAGCTTTGACATCGATGGGATAGACCCTGCGTACGCCCCGGGCACCGGGACCCCGGAGATAGCTGGGCTCACACCTGCACAGGTAAGGGGGACACAGCTTTGGTTCCCAGGGGGAAGGGAATGGTTTTGCTCCCATTTTAAAGGAGGTTATGCCATCAGCACAGCAAAGCAAAGGGCTGGGAAGGCCAGGGAGTGATTCCTCGTGGTGGTGAAGGGAAAGGTGGAACTGATGAGATTTGGTCTGTAGAGGTTGTGTTTCCTTATTGGAACATGGGGAAAGCAGAGCCCTGAAAAGTCTGCTAGGTCAGATGTGGTTTTTGATCCCAAATCCATCTTTTCCACAGGCTTTGGAGATTATTCGTGGCTGCAAAGGCCTGAACATAGTGGGCTGTGACCTCGTGGAAGTCGCACCAATGTATGATGTCTCTGGTGAGTCTAAAGATGCTTGAGAGTAAGACACATCCCTGGCAGAAGAGGCTGTGAGTGAAAGCCCTTGGATATTCATGGACATTTTTCCCTTTTTTTTTCAGGTAACACAGCCCTCCTGGGGGCAAACCTGCTGTTTGAGATGCTGTGTGTTCTCCCAGGAGTGAAGACACTGTGAGGGCAGTTCCCACCTGCCCTGGGGCAACACTGCTCCATGTGCTCAGCTGAGGCTTTCCATGTCCCCTTTCCCTCAGCCAGCACAGGCTTTGCAGCATGGAATAAATACCACTTACCACTATAAAAGGTAATTTTAAGCTGAGAAACTATAGGGAACAGATGGATTTGAATAGCCTGTTTGTCTGGGGTCTGGAGCTTTGGAGTTGGCCTGGGAAAGGGAAGGATGAGGCTAATGGTCTTTCGCCTCTGGAATGAGTCACCTGGATCACAGGGCTAGTGGCAAAACTGTCACTGGTCAGTTTTGTCCCATTAGGATGTGGCCAGCAGGACAATGGATGTAGACAAAGGGAGTCTGGAGCTCCTGAAGGTAGGGGGATGTTTGAATTTCCTGCTGGGGGAATAACCAGGAGTGGTTTAATCGCTCCTGCAATTCCTGAACAGATGCAGAGGTGAAATTCATTTGTGCATAGAAACACAGAGCCAACTCATCACACATTAAAATAGTTTATTTTGGTTGCGAATCTGTAATCATCTCAAAACAAAATGACATCAGTGCCTGATCACAAATACAAAACCAAACCAAAACAAACAAAAAAAAAAAGAAATTAAAAAAGACAAGTTTGCCAAATAAGTTAATTCCCCCCTCCCAGTATCAAAAGTGCAAAATAGGGACCTAGTTTTCAGTCCTACTCGTCAGGCTGCACTCGTGTCCTGGCTCCTGGCAGTGACAGGAACAGGGAGGAGGAGTTTGGGAACAACCTCCTCTCAGGGCCTGTCTCCCTTTGCCTCAGCTCCGAGCGCTGTGCCATCGCTCAGCTCTCACTAGGATAGTGCACTAGGACCGAATTGCCTCAATCTTTGGATTACAAACCACCACGTGCTGTCCAAGGCAGCAGCCTGAGTGTGGAGAAACAGGTGTGGGGCAAGAAGGAAACGGGTGAGAGGCTGAAAGCAAACATCTCAACCCCACACCTAAACCAAAAGGAGCTTCACACGCACGCGACGGTCTGATGATACAGCACTTCTGGGGCAACATTTCAAAAATACAATCGTTGAAGGATGAGGTTGGTTGGTACTACAGCTGGAAGGGTGTTTGCAAGGAGCCCAGGTGACTCCCTGGCAGCTACGTAGAGGTTTTTTTTTTTTACACATCTACTGGCTCATAGCAGCTCACGCCTACAATCTGAGGACGCAGGTATAGTTATGGCTCTAGGATACATCGTCTAAAATCGACAAGCAGAAAAGGCATCTGAAAAAAATCAACGTGACATTTAAATGGCTCAACACTTGGACAGTATTTACGGCCGTGCAAAACCCCTTCCCTCCCTGGTTACAGTTCAGCTGGTGAAGCTGCACGTGGAACTATGACACGAGGAGCATGGAACATGCAGATCGCCTACGAGCCCGTACCACAGGTGAGTCCCAGCTACAGGTGTGCTACGAGGGAGATGCTCCTGACCGGACTCTACATCACTTACCACGGGAAAAGCCGAGAAGGTACAACTGCCTGGTGGGAGGAGGCCTTTTGGCAGGGCAGGGCCTGGGAGGGTCTGCAGGGTCTTGCCAGTGTTACACCATGCACCATGGGCTAAGCACACGGGGACAGGGAGAGAGAACTGTGACCCGAGCTGTCCCCGGCCACGGTTGGTCCGGGCCGAGAGAAGTCACGGGTTTGTTTCTTCAACCGAGGTAAAACAAGAGATGAAACAGGGGCGACTTGGGAAGCAGATGTGGCAGGACAAGAAGGGAAAAACAGACTTCTTGGCTCTTGGTGTCCAAACGCATGGTGGGGCGGTGGTCTCCCAGGCTCCAGCCGTGGAGAGGGATGTGGCACCGGCCCCAGGAGAGTTCCTCTAAAACCTAAGGTCCATTCATCACGCTTGTTTGTGTGTTCCTGGAAAGAGCTGTCCCTTGTCATCTTCATAAAAAGTTTGTCCCTTAGAATCTCTGTAAAATCCCTCAGTCTAGCGCGGGCCACGAGGGGATATAGAACCTCTGTAAGGAACCCTCTAGAAGGCGTTCCATCCAAAAGGACAATTTGTGTAATTTGTTTTTAATGGATCTAGATCCTGGGCTGCAGGAGGGTTTCCCTCTGGCTTCTGCGTGTAGCGAGGCATCATAATCCTCACATGACCCCAGGGTTCCCCCCTCGTCCCCTGCTCTGTGAGGCTTAAAGAGGCAGAAATATTTCTTGTGGCCGTTCAGGGCCAGGACGTAGCCCGTGTAGTCGCGCTCCAGGAAATGCTTGTCGTACTGGTTTGGGATGGGGGCTGCATCCTGGGCAAACTCCAGCAGGTACTCCAGCCACTCTCGGTGCTTGTCCAGGCTGAGGAAGGAGAAATGAAGAGAGCTGCTCCTGGGGGAAGAGCAGAGAAGAGAGAGGGATTGGGATGTGTCCTGAGTCAGGCCAGATTCCAACCGGACAGATGAGCATCTATCAACAAGGGCAGGGCAGTGCTGTTACCACAGCTCCTTTTTCAGCACAGGTGACAACTGCACAGTCGGCACAGTCATGCTCTCTGTTCCCTGAAACATGGGTACAGCCAACGTGGCAGCAGCACCAGACCCTTCTTGCCCCTCTCACTGAGTCCAGTCAGGAGTGACCACTCGTTTTGGTGGCTCATTGCCACTGATGACTCTGCTCAGCAGGAGAGTTCCCTCCTGGCCGACCTCACCCCTCACATGTCACTGGAGCAGCATGACACAAATCACAAACCCAGGATGGGCCCAACATACCCTGTGAACGTGTAGACTTCCAGGGCAAACTTCTGGAGCAGAGGAGTTTTGGTGGAGTTGGACAGGATCAAGACGACATTCATGTGCCCTGGCCTCAGGCGCACCAGGTTACTGGTGTAGTTGATGTCTGTTAGCTCAGTCACCTCGACAAAGCCCTTTTTGGGAATCCTGCAACAGAGCAGTGACTGAGTGAAAGTGGAGCAAGGGACAGGAGGGACTGAGGACAGAGAAACTCTGACCGTGTTCCCCAGCCCGTTATGCTGAGCCAGCCCCGTGCCCTGTAGGCAAACCAGTTTAATTGCTGCAATGGCCCAATTTGGCTCTTCTTCAACGAGTGGGTCAGACTTCACCTATCCTCTGAGGATGCTGTCTGGTGCAAACTTGTTAGGAATTGCTTAATAACTGTATTTCTGCCCTCCTGGCCTTGCTGTCTGGGTCCTGTCTGAGCACTGCTCCTTCCTGCCTCAGTGTCCATGCTGACGTGCACACAGCTGTGCTATGTCTGTGCAGCTGTGGCACTTCTCTGCCTCCCACTAATGCTCCCTGAGCAATGCCCCACAGAAAACATCTAGGGAGAGTCGAGAGAGGGAACCTGTTACTCTCTTTGCTGAAGCTCGCGTCGTTCTTCTCCGTCTTTGCGGCGGTTTCTTCCTTCTCAGAGGGCTGAGAGTCCCTTGTGTCACTTGAATCACTGCAGAGGAAGATTTGGTGTGTGTTTAAGGCCTCGGGTTGGAGTGAAGTGCTGTCCCTGAGGACACCTGGAGGCACTCACCTGAAAGCCTGAACGATGACGGTGCCAAAGAGAATGAAGAGTGCGGAGAAGAGCAAGGACAGCAGTGGCATCATTTCTCGCCTGAGGGGAAGATGTGCAAAGAGCAGTCAGTTTGTGAGGTCACATTTTCTGCCTGAATTTCAGTTGCTGTCTACTTCAAGCAACACCACGTGCCTTCCCCATGATAGCATAGAGTAAAATGTTTGGAAGTGTGGTAGTCAAGGTAGAACTTAGTGACAAAGATGGATATTATGTTTAGTAGAGCAGCGTGAACTTGTATGTACTTGCATATCCATCTGCACATATCTGCTTGAATGATAGATTATTATTTGCCTGATTAATAGATTATTATGATAAGATTTTGAAACTATGTTTGGGAGGACCATAACAATGATCAAAGGGAACTTGAAGTTATGCCTAGGAAGGATTGTAACAATAATCAAAAGCAACTGGGATCCATGCTTGGGTGAAATCAATAGAATAATAGTAATGTAATGATTAACCTATGGTTATGTAAGAGAAGAGTATAAAATGTATCCATCTCTGATCCATGTTGGAGTCAGATTTGGGTCTGTACCCCGACTCCCAGAGCTCTTCAATAAAAGCACCCATATAATCATTCAGGGATTATGTGTTTTCTACGCTAACACCCAGAAACTAAGCTTGTTTCTCAGGGTCTTAAGGACCACCGAGTTTTTGAGCACTGTCCTGCTCCCAGGCAAAAGGAGGCTAAAAACAGATCCATTTTAAAATAAGGTGACAGGGAAGGAGTGAAACCCAACAATGGATGCCCAGTCCATACCAGTTACTGTGAAACAAACTGTCCCAGCAGTCCGAAATGTAGTCCAGTGTGGAGTAGAACCATCGGATAAGGAACACCTGTTTCAAAACAACAACAAAAACAAATGACAAACCTGCTGTGCAGAGCCCCAACAGCACTCCCACCCCACAACCAGAACCCTGGGCAAGAGAACTTCTAAGTCTTGCCTTGGTATTTTAAAATATGCCTGTGAACAGCCACAACAGGACTGTCCAGACAGGGATGTCAGGCAGCCAGAAAGGCCATGCACTTACAGGAGCGAGCTCATCGTTCAGGTCAGCCACGACAGTCTCTGAGGAGAGCAGGCCTGGATCTGTCCTCAGCTGGTCCAGAAGATCCAGGAGGATGAAGTTGTCCTCCTTGCTGCCTTGCCAGGGCTCCTCCAAGGCTTTGTAGACGATCTTCCCTGCGTTATTGCGTCTCTCCAGAATGACCACCTGGATGAGCCAAGAACATGGCAGATGTCAGACAGGAGGGGACATTTTTTTCTAGACAGATGTTTCATTTCAAACCACTGCCCAGAGTCAGGTGTCAGATCAAGGTATAATGTCTACATAAAGTGGATTAGAATGACAGACAAAAAGAAAAGAGATTAAACAAAGGGAATGCTCACCCCTGATTTTCCCCGATCCATCAGCAAGGCGTCTGCAAATTCCGGCTGCCGATCGTTATAGACGTACACAAACTTGAGTGTGTCTTTGGTGTTGGCCACAGCAAAAGCCAGAAAGGCCTCATAAGCCTCAGCAAACTTCTCTCCTTCCCCAGTGAGCAAGATCACACAGTGCCTGGGTGACATGATGAGAGAGGGGATTAAGAGCCATTCTGGATGCGAGAGGAAACGACCATCCCCTTTCCGCTAGCCTGAATGGTCCCAGTGAGCCAGAAACCTTTCAGACACTGCAGATCCCAAGGACCATCCAATGCAGGCATTGCCCTTTTCCATCAGCATCAAACCAGAGGTGGCTTTAGAGCAGCCCCAGAGCCTCAGGGAACAAAATGGGGGGACCTGTCCCCCACAGACTTACTTTCGCTGACGGTGAGACTTCTTGACAGGACACAGCTCCTGGAACAGCCTCTGGCTGGTGAGTCTGGCCACCATGAGGAACTTATTCTGGGAAAGGAAGTCATCAATCAGCTGCTTCTTCATCTCTCGTGCCTGGTGAGGACAAAGAAAGCAGAAGTCAGAACTGAGCAGGATGAGGAGAGGAAAGCTGCTGGACAACCCTGTCTGAGGCCAGGGAAGGCTGCCAGCCATCATGGTCCTTGCTGCAATCACCCAAGATGTTTTGAGGCTCTGAGATGGAGCAGCTACCTCTGCTCACCCTCCTCAACAGGTCAGACACCACAGCTAAAGCCTGTCAAGCTTCCTTCCACCTAACACTCTTCTTCTCCTCCAAACCTGATTTTATCTCCTCAACAGGTCAGACACCACAGCTAGAGCCTGTCAAGCTTCCTTCCTCCTAACACTCTTCTCCTCCAAACCTGATTTTACGCTAAGATCAAACACTCTTCACTCCAAACTGCACCACTGCCCCACCTCCCATCACCAGCTCAGTCAGAAAACCTCTGCACCCATTTCCTGTAAGCTCTCAGAGAGGGCCCTGAGCAATACCTGCACAACATCAGCAGGTCGGTCGATGTGCTCCTTGAAGATCATCATGGTGGGAGTGTAGACGTTGATGTTGTACTGACTGGACAACTCTTCAGTGCCTCTGAGTCCCACGTACACATAGCCAAAGGACAGGTAATCTCGGTAGGCAAAGGCAATCAGCTGGAGGGGAAGAAAGGCCCAGCATGTGTTTATGTTAGAGAGTGACCAACCTTCTCCCCCCTCAGCACCTGTGGTGACTTTGCTCTGAGAACTGTTTGAGTGTCATCAAGCCCTTCCTCTCCCTTGCTGAACCATGCTTTGAGTTCCCTTAGTCACTGTGCCAGGAGCCTCCACAGATCCACAGTATTATTTACAGCCTGACATGCTGCTGGGCAGCAGGGATTTTGTAGGAAAGGGGATTGCCAGGAACCCAGATTAACCAGTCAGTAGTGTCTGGAGGCATCAGTCCACTTGTTTTTCTTTGGGCACATCTGGATTTATAAACAACTCAACAATGCAGTGACAGAAACGACGTTACCTTGTATAATAATGGCACAACTGGCATGTGATCAAACAGCAGGACATGGGGCTTGTTGTCTTTCTTCCAGTCGGAGAGAAAGCGAACGTAGTTTTTATCTGTAATCTTTAAACAGAACCAGGTTAGCTTAACCTCTGAGCCAACAGACACTGGCAAGTCTCTACAGTGAGTGTGTGGATGAGAACTGAGCCTAGTTATTATAGATTATGGGAAGCTGAGACATGTGTGAGCTCCATCAAACCTGCTCTGTTTCACGTGTGGTACCTGCTTGACTTAGAGGAAGGAGATAAATGGCTGTGTTACCTGTGGAAGGGGAAACAGACCTCACTTTTGGGGTGAGAACTCCAACAGCCAAAGGACAACGAGTCAAAGAGTCCACTGGGGAAGGAGGCCCTTGCTGAAGGCCCCAAGGCAAAATGAGGTGAGGTGAACAAGCAGGGGGCAGGCAGGTGAGACTGTCCTGAAAGGGGTGGTGGATGCTTTAAGGCTCTGCCAAAAATCACTGTGCAGCGCTTGAAATGCAAGAATTTTTTTATTAGTTAGGAGGTTTTACTTATAACTTTGAAAGGGCTCATGCTGCCAGCTCCAGTATCAAAAGTCTGAAAGAAAACTGGACAAAACAAACAATGAGTCTGTGTTGGCAAGTTTTAGCAGACAGTGCCTAGGAGTTCTTGAGTGATCCCTAATTTGCTGGATGAAACCATGAGAAAGGAGAAGGGAAATGAAATCCAGCAAGTTCCTAACCTAGGGATGATAGCTTTGGGGGCAGCCACGGGGTGTCACAGCTGGGGGCAGCCAGCACTTAGACTCACTGGTGTAACCACCCAGTAGCAGGATCAGCCCTTTTGTGAGGAGAAGGATTATGGAGCTATGTGCTGCAACTGCTTCCAACAGCTGCAGAGCTTGGAGCTTCATGACACAGATCAGCTCGGGAGCTGAATCACACAGATTAGCACCAAAACAGCCACGGAGGGACAAATCTCCAGGCAGACAGGAGGAGCAGCACGTGCCACTCTTGCTAGAGCCTACCTTTTCCACGAGATTCCCTGGCAGAAGGTTCTCCACAAACTGCCGCAGGTTTTCCCGCACAACAGCGCTGTGGAAGAAGGTTATCTTGCCGTTGATGAGCCCCAGCAGGGTGGGAGTGCTGTGGGCACCCAGGTGATGGGCGAGGCGCCGCTCGTACCCTGCGTGCACGACGCCGATTCCCGCTCCTGGAAAAGGAGAGCGGTGGGTTCACATCAGAGATCCCCAAACTCCCAGTGGAAAAGTGAGGCTGGAGACCTCTTCCCTTGCCTAGCACCCTGCCTGGGAGTTAGCAATGTCTGGGAAAATGTCAGGATAAATCCCTGCACAGGTTAAACGAGGTCCTGCAAAGCTGATGCACTCCCAGCCTCAACCTTACCCAGTGCCTCCAATTCCTGAGCGACTTCCTTCCACACAGGCTCGATGTGGATGCAGCTGAAGCACCAGTCAGAGGTGATTTTAATGAGGTAAGGTTTCTTGAAGCTATCTGGCACGATTTCATTGATGTAATGGGAAAAGTGGAGCAAATACTTCTCGTCGGAGGCGTCGCGTCTCTCCGAGTTGAAGGGGAAGTGGAAGAAGGACTCGTCGAAGTAGAAGCCGTCGTGGAAGCGATGGAACTGGCGATGCTGCTGCTGAGAGAACCCTTGGCTTTCCCCAGCATCTCCATAGCGGTCAAAGTTTGCCCTCTTTTCCTCGTTGGAGAGAATCTGGGAAGCAGGTGATAGAGGAACAGTCAGCTGAAGCCATGAGGAGGAGCTGCCTGATTGTAATCCCTTAGTAAATACCTGCTGCTGTGTAAGGACTGCGTGGCCATTGCTGCATGTCAGAGGGACAGATATGTTGGAAAAGGGAACTGTCACATCCCTCCAGGCTCGCTGTGATAAATAAGGGTAAAAAAAGCCAAAGCCCAGAGAAAAGGAGTCCTTAAATCCAGACTGCTCCCTGGGCCAGAACGTCCCGCGTTCCGAGCACAAACGCTCAGCTCTGGAGCAGCTTTTGCTGTTGTTTGTTTCAACCTGGAGAGTTTTCTCAGCACATCAGAAAGTGCCAGAAGTTTCACCAAGCAGTCAGAAGCCCCACAGAGAAACTGCATTTTCTGGCAGGGAAATAAAGATTTAGTTCAAACCAGGGCAGCCAATTTCCAGAGTGATGTGCAAATAACTACCACTACAAATAATTTGAGGTGACGAAGCCCTGTGATGATTAATGTTGTTTACATCACCCCAAAATGCTTCTAAATACATGTGACACTGAGAGGATGTTGCCTGGCTGGGCAGGGCCTGGTGAATACCAGCTCCTCCCTCATTTGAGGCTTTTTACCCAGAACAGGGCAGACCTGTCATGAAATACTTCCAGCAGAGGCCACACTGGTGACTCCAGTGGCTCTGTCAACAAAGCTAAGCAAACTTTTTTTGGGTGAATAATGTCCATCTCCATGGGGTCAAGCACCTTCCCCATGCAGAATACACAGGAAAAGTACATATGGAAAAATAAGGTCACAATGTTGATACAGCAGGAGTTTGTAAGAAGAGCATGTTACCTCGTAGGCTTTGCTGATTTGGATGAATTTATCCTCTGCTCCTGGATCCTTGTTTTTGTCAGGGTGCCTACGGGGCAGAACCAGAGGAAAAGGGGTCAGTGGTTCCCTGGGGGGCACAGGGAGCTGCTGGTGAGCAGGACACAGATAGTTAGGGTGTGCAGCTGCATCCCCTGAGGCTGAGATCAGATTTATACCAGCACATGCTGTCCCTACCCAAACCCCATCCTGAACTGCAGCACTGGGATATGTGCCATGTGCCTGTGGACCTGTCCCTCTGTCTGATCCAACACCAACAGCCTGAGCCCAGGATGAGGGAATGTCTCTTTCCTAGCAATGCCTCCCTTGGCTGCTGCCCTACATACCTACTGAGCTCTTCCTTAAATCACCTCCTGCCACAGCCCTCAGGGATGTCTCACACAGAACAACACAGGCTCTGGAAGCTCCAGGTGAGACTCTTTTCCAAGGCAATCCATCTTGCCCCTTACCACATACCACCCACACAAGGGCTGTGACATTTGTGGATCCAGTGCCTTTTCTTCCCATGGTATGGGGGGTTGAGTTGTTGGACACTGACATACCAAGCTGAGACTTAAACCCTGGTGTATCAAAGATTCCCAGTTGGGTCAGGGGAATAGCCAAAATCCAGGAGAATTTCCCCCCATACCTAGACTCTAAGAGAACATTTCCCCCTGTAGCCTGATTCTGGGAGAACTTTTCCCCCCATGACCAAACTCCAGGAGAACATTTTCCCTCTGTAGCAAGACTCTAGGAGAACTT